ACAACAGCATGCTATTAATATTGGTTGTTGCACCAACATTTTGATTTCAGGCAATTAGAGCAGTGACACTGAGTGATATGCACTGCGACATCATCCAGCTTGGGGAAGTAAGTGGGCTTGGCTCAAAATTTGGTATCACGCGGGTGGGTATTGCTTATATATATTGCCTTTCCTTTTTCTTTTCCTTTCCGGTTGCAGCCTTTTAATTTCAGCTGTATGTTTGTACTGTAACATGGTGGTCGTCGGTTAGATCTAGAGCTGTTGTTTAGAGTTGGTCTTTTAGGATTTAGTGAAACAATAATTAATTTGAGGATGATGATGATATGAGGGAGCCTTTGGGTGCTCCGGTCTGGTGTGTATCGCTGACTGGCTGTGATGCTGGAAATATATATACAAATGCAAGCTCAGTTTGTTTCTTTTTGATTATGTGCAGAGACAATATTCGGTGTGGCTGGGACGCCTCACGCATTACTTACATGTAGGTGCATAAAATATTCTTCTAAATCATGCTTTACTTACTAGTCTGTGACTTGATTAGCTAGGTACATTGTTTAATTTTTTCTGTTTGTCGTCTGTCTCAACTTTGAAAATAAGTATAATTGAGATGCAGATACTTGGAGGAGTGGAAGAATTGGATATCTTTTTTCGCGCAACTCTTACAAGCTATTCCGAATATGAATATCATAAAGACATCATTGCCGTTATAGGTTCACCTCTCGGATTACAAGAAATCAGGAAGATCGTGGTAGATGTCATTGTTCATGACGTGGATCCTTCTCCCCGTGTGAATGCGATTTTAACGAGTTCTCAAGCAATGAAGGATCTTAAGGATTTCTATTTATGAAGAATCTCCAGGATTTTGGAGTTATCTAGAATATATTGTTGCTTTTGATTCGAGTGACGAAGAATGTCATGGAGTTATAGTCTCGTTTTAAATGGAACAATTTTAGCACTATGTTGCAAATATTAGCCAGCCTACACTAGTGTAATCAAAACTATATGGCCAACAATTATCACTTAATTATGGATTAATTTTTGCTTAGTACTTTGGACTTTAATCCCCACCTCCAATGAACAATAAGATACTATTTATATTAAATATGCAATCTCAAAATTGCTACTTGTTTTCCAAGCATTGGGGATTTAATTTTATGTTCCAAAAAAATTAAGAAAACAGTAGTTCATATCCCACTTTTTT